TGAATATGAGGAAGAACTTCTTCCCTCTGAGGGTGACGGAGCACTGAAACAGGCTGCCCAGGGAGGTTGTGGAGTCTCCTTCTTGGGAAATATTCAAGCCCCGCCTGGACAAGGTCCTATGCAGCCTGCTGTAGGTGACCCTGCTTCGGCAGGAGGGTTGGACTAGATGACCCACAGAGGTACCTTCCAACCTCTACCATTCTGTGATTCTGTGACAAAACTCTGTTCCCTTATTGCCAGAGATGTTGGGATGGGGAGTGGGCTGGAGTAGTTACAACAGAGTCTGAAAGACCTATAACCTGTGCTTATTTCAAGAAAATCATGGTTGCACAAGCAGAGCAGGAGGCTAGTTCTAGCCTGCTGTTGAATGCTGGAAATAAAGAGGCACCCTTTGTCAGAGTAGAGAATCTCATTGATGCTGTGAAGAGTTAGCATAGTGGTCTAGGTGGTTTTTATACTAGAAAAATAGAATTGAGTTGGTTCGTTCTTCCTTATCACTTCTGCTGGTGTGTATCCTACTTCAGTGCTATCTACCCTGGGTTGTCTTGTATCAAGTGAGAAAGTTTTGTTTTCGACATTAGGCTCTGTCTGTCCCTAAACTAGCAAAGAAACTGAGATTAGGCTCAAACATCCACATTTTTTTGAGTCCACAGCAGTATTTTGCCTACACTGTTCTGTACTGTTACAGATTTAATACAGTCTTTTCAAGCGAGTAGTGCAGTGGTGCACTGCAGCAGCTGAGTTGTGCTGCCTAACAGAGCTGCTGGGCCCTTCCCTGTATGGAAGCAATTAGTGTTAAGCTCGGGGTTTTTCTTCTTTGGAGAAAGCTTCGCCCCATCCTGAGGGGGGAGAGAGAGAGGTTCCTGGATTTATTAGGAGATGACAGAAGGAGATAGTTGCAGTCAAAGAAGATAGTAGGGGAATGGAGAGAATATGGAGGCGGCTGCACGGTACAGTGGAAGATGTAATTCTGGAAATAACTTGTCTGTTGCAAAAGGGATTAGGATGACCAGTTTATCTGTTCTTCCCTAGTCTGGTCTATTTTATGACTATGTTTGTAGTTGAATTTGGTTATCTGCGTACATTCCGATGGTGTAACACAGTTTACTTGCTTCTTATAGTCGATACTTTCTGATATTCAGCTGCCTGATACTGTTTGCCTTGTGGTTTCCCAGTACCATCGAGAACTCTTGTGTTGAAATGGAAGAAAGGGTGTTTAGCTAAAGACTCCTAATTAATACATTGCAGTTAGAAGGAGTATCTTAAATGCTGCTGCACGTGATTTCCACACACGCACACCCTTCCCTTAAAACCAGGCAATTGACTGATGCAAATCAGTGTGAATAAATGCACTGTGATGCAGCACTGGACACAATTTAAACTACTCGTAGGCATGGAATGGCCCTTGCTTAGCTTAAATTGTTCAAGATCACAGCCAATGGTAGAGGACAAATTCACAGAAACCTTTCTGTGGAAGGAAAGAACGACCTCAGTTTGTTTATTTAAAGACTTTTTTTTTAAAAAAGTAAAAATAATAGAAAGGCATCAGAAGTTTGCGGTGACCTGGTGTAGCACACTGGGTTTGTTTTCTAGAAATTCAGTCTCAGTGCAGTAGTAGAAAGGCCAGGGACAAATCTGAATTACAGAAAGCAGAGTCCTGAAAGAGCAGGAGCAAGCACACAAAGGTGATATTTCTTATCCTTGATGAAAAGGGTGTGCTAGGCATAGCAGCCAGTAAATTGTTTGAGCTGGGTCACTCTGAATTTTAAAGGTAGTTGATACTGGAATAAATTGCCCAGAGAGCTTGTGGAGTCCCTGACCTTGGAGACATTCAAAACCCAGCTGGATGTGGGCCCGGGCAGCATGTTCTAGATGACACAAGCAGGGGGATTGGACTAGACAAAAGGTTTCTTCCAACCTCAGCGATTCCCTGAAAATATCTCTGCTCATTTCTCTTCCTAATTCCTCCATAAGATGCTTGGAAAAAGCATCTGCAGTATATAGGCAATGGGACAAGCCCTTTCTAAAAGCTGTGGTCATCTTTGTCTTTCTTCAGACTTAAAGCAAATGAAGTTAATGAACTGCAGAAAGGTTTTCCTGGAGCGTGGAGTTTGACATTAATTTGGAAAAAGGGCTTTGGACAAGTCATGTAACAGAAGCAGAACTACTTGCTGCAGCCCTAATTCACCAGGTCCACAGATGAGAATGGAGCGCTTGATGATCTTATGATGCATTTTAATCTACGATGTTTAACATCGACCTGAATTCTGCCTGCTTTGTTTGAGGTCTCTGCTTCTTACTAAATAGTTCTCCGAGTCTGTAGCAAAACTTGATTACATACTGGTAAAAATAGGTTTCAGCTGACAACCTCCCTTCCCTTTTAAAGATGAACTCAATCTTGAGAGACAGTCAAGACCGCATCTCAATTCCTGTGTTTCACTTCTTTTTCTGCTTTTGTTGTTGTTTCTGGATGTTCAGAAATTTGGCAAATGTGACTTCCCTACGCTGACAGCAACAGCCTAGCTATCCACAAAGTTTTCCCCCACAAGGCTGCTGGATAAATAATTTGTAATTGTTTACTTGTTCCTGTTTTTCTGCCTGCCATTTATCACACAGTTTGGCCTCTTGTGGAACCCTTTACACACAGTTTCTCTGGTTTGCCATCAGATCTTCCCAAAGACAAGCATGCTATTTCCAAACAGAATAGCCTCAATCTCAGAGAAGCAAAATATTCAAAAAGAGCTGAATCTAGCAAAACTAGTGAATTTTGAGGCTGTTCTCCATTGTCACGTATTTAGCTGTCTTTGCAGATATACTGTTGGAAAAAACTAGTGGCAAGCAAGTGGCTGGGGGACAAAGCAACACTGATTATGGAAAAGGCACTTTCTAGCTTGAATCCCAATTAATAAAGTGCTATTACTCTGCTTGGCGATACTGTAGTTTCATCCCTCCTGAAAAGCGATTGATCTGCTCTGATGAGCTTGCTCTTGGCAAACTTCATGCAGTACAGTTAAGGGAGAGAATGATGTCAGTGTCTGTCCCCTGAGTCCCTGTCCTGGGAATGACAGCAGGTCTGTGAAGTCATGAATGATGAGGAGTGTACATCACAAGGGAGGAAAAATTATCCCATTAGCAGGCTGAATTCAGGATAGTTTCAAACAGCCAGAGGAAGACTGTTGGGTCATTACACTGGGTGTGATAGCTGGGATGTTTCTGTGTTGGCTTTGTCTGCAAGGCCTCTGGCAGTGTTTCAGCTGAACAGGGAGTGTCTGAGAGGTGTTTTGACCTTAAAGGAGAAATTATCTGTCTCTGAGGAGCTCTGAGAAGCAGCCTTTGCTATATAGCCAGTTATTCCAGTACTGAACATCTGGAAAAGGCATTGAGTTTTTTGGTATATAGCTGTAAGTTGCTATATAAATGAAACTTTCCAAACATCTCAGTCTTGTTTGCAGAAATTATTTTCTGTCTTCAGAGGTTTTTGGTTTTGTTTTAACGTGAGACATAAGTTCCTGTGATGCTAAGATGCTTTGGAAAAGTTTGCAGTTCCTTCATCCCTGGTCCCAAAAGATTGTATTATTTGATGGGTTTTCTGGTGTATGTGTGTGGTCAAATTTTGTGTTTAGTGTTGGTGTGGCAACCTCTGAAGCTTTGAATAGCTGCTGTCATCCTCAGGCAGACGTTTTGGTTTTTGTGATAAGCATATATGCTTTTCGTTTACTCCCAGTGTCAGTTTTACCTAACAGCAGGGGCAAGTTTGGCAAATAATGACCACTTGGAGACCTTTCTGAGGGTGGAGCTGCTGACATGGAATTGCTTTAGGGACTGCACCAAGCAGTTGCACCAAGATTTCAAAAATGGCATTCATCATTTAACAGTCATGGATAATGACTGGATTTTATTGTCCTGAGGATGAGATGCATAAGCAGGTAGGTGAGAGGGATGGTTAGTATCTGCTGAAGGGTAAAGACAGTAAGTAGGCAGGGAATATATTCTTACCCTGGAGGATGCTAGGTTGTAGCTAGGAGTGCATGAGCTCTCCTTGGGCATAAGGAGTATAGAAAAGTGAAAAACATGCACAGGACAACCAGATCGTTCCCTTTTTCTCCTTCACAATGTCAGATACCAGGTTTCAAGTGGATCCTTTATCAAGATTTGTTTTATTGATAAAATTTAGCTTTCACCTTCACCATTCTCATAAAATGAATAAAAATTATAAAACAAACGTCTGCCTGACCTACTTAACAGTATGGTAGTGATTTAAGTTCCTTCACATAGTAAAACTTTAGGTATGGAAAGGTTTGCATATGTTCTCCAACAGTTCTTTGAGCCTTGTGTTTGATAGTGCCGTTAAGTTTGGGAACACTATAAAATCTTATGTGTTCCTTTGTATGCTGTGTTTGCGAGTCCTTGGAACTCAGCCCTAACTGGGTGACTTTTGCGGTGAAAAGGGATTTTACGCCTGTTTGAGCCACCTTCTAAAATTAGAAATTATTTAGCAGGCTGTGGGTGTCACCAAACGACAACTGCACTAGTTTCTGTGACTTCGTTGTGAAGTGGCAGGAATGGCTAGTTTCCATGTGCAGAATGTATAGGCATTGTAACATTTGTAGCTCGTGACAGACTGTTTTCATGTTGACTGTTTGCTGCCTTAGCATTTCGCCTGGTTAGCTTGTATTCCTAGCTGCGAAGGACAGGAGGTTCAGATGAAAATGGCTGTGTGGTTATCTCTGAAGTCATGTCTCCCTCACAACTGTTAGTAACTGGTAACCTTTCCTTCGGTTTGTGCTTTGGCACCTTGGGACTGTTGCCTCTCTTGAACGAACTGAATAAAAACTAAGGATGTTCCAGCAGCTAAATATTCAGAGCTAAAATGAGAAATGACATTTTGCTTTGGAAATAAAACTTGTTAACAAGTTTAAAGTGCTATCAAAATTACTTTGGTGATGTGACCTGCTAAATCAGCTCAGTGCTTATGTGCTTTATTTCTCTTCCTCTCACAGCTCTGCAGAATTGAGTATTCCTGTGACAGGAGGATTGTTATGGACACAGAATGACTTCCATAAAATAAAAAGTGGCCTTCAACTTTTCTAAGACAGCAGAGTGCTCTGCGGCTTTCAGTATTGCACAAGTGGCATGGAAGAACTAGTAATGGTGATGGGGAAATAGCCACTCCAGGATATATATTTTTTTGTGAAGATTTGCTGACTTTCACGATCTAAAATCAGTATTTGATAAAGGTGGTGTGTTTTAAGTTCCATGTGTCTCGTTCCATGTGTTGTCTTGCTTCACCACTATCATGAACTTTCAGCTCTAGTTGATGTTTGCCAAATACAGTTGGAGTACTTCGGAATCCCTCAGTGTTTCGTAATTTTTGTCATGGTTAATAAATACAACCACCTGAAGGCAAACCTTCTGCATGGATCCTGTTTTTCCTTTCACTCAGGTATTCTGGAAACTGTCCTCTGGTCCTCAATAGCCAGACCATTGCACCCTTTCTATTTCAGTGACGCTAATACTGTCCTGTATGAGTTTGCACGATTTTACCAGGATAAAATTGTGCTACAATTTTCATCTAGCTAGGATTTCACATGAAGCTTCAGGGATCCAGCCTAGTTAGTAAAGGATAAATATAGTGCATAAATATCTTTGAAAATTTTTTTCTCACTATTTTTCTCGGGTGATAGCCTTGAGGCCACTGTTGTCTCTTTTTAATTAAAAAGTTTTCTGCTTGATGTTACTTCTATTCATGATTTTGCTGAGGTTGATAACTAATACTGTGGTCTTTGTTGAGAGCTAGTGTGATTACCGCAGAAATGGACTTGAGTACCTTCTTGGAAAGTTGTTGAGAAAAAGGACTCCCCGCTAGTTTTTTCCTAAATTCAACTTTCTTTACCTCTATTAAAGGTTCTTGGAACTTGGAGGCTTCTGCAATTACCTGTCAAAAAAGAGGAGTTTAAGCATGCATTTACTGCAGGACTCCTCAGTAAGAATGTGTTGGAGTGTATATGCTAGAGGGTAAGACAGAGCCTTTCTCTGAGTCAGTCTAATAATGCACAGTATTTACAAACTAAACAGGAGCAGGAACATGTGAGTGCAGCATGGTGAAATGGAATCTTTTTAGTTCTTTAGGGCTGACATTATGTGCTGATGTTCTGCAGAAAGAGATACAGAAAGGGATACACAACTTCAGCAGTACATTGAATAGGATTGAATTGCAAGTTTAGAACAGCATCTTCATGCATGCTTTGGGCTGGCTCTCAAATAAAGGCTTAGCTAAATGTCCATAATGTAAGCATTATTTTTATTCTAATTTTTTGTCATCCTGTTCTACTGCAGTTACTCTTTACCAGACAGCTAGAAGTTGTTTAAAATGGAAGACAGATTGTACATTTCCTTCTCTAAAAACAAGCAGTGCTAATACAAAAGAAAACAAATTTCTTTTTCTGTTAGGAGGGATTTTTCATGTGAGCCCTTCCCCTTTCTAGTATTTTTAGAAATGCCTCCTTTTACCCAGCAATTCCTCAAGCTTATTTAGGAAATTTCGAGTGAAGAGAATTTGTTCTTTTATTACTGTATTTGCTAGAGCATGAAATGACTTACTGTATTTGGTACTTCTGAGGTCTGTCAATGCAAACAAGCGTAACAATTCAACAAGGAAAGTGTGATGCTGGCAAATCCTGTGCCATATGTAACCTTTTTCCCATTTGGTAATGGTTTACTTGGTAAAATCATGTGCTACTATAGTTTCTTCATCAGCTGTTATTACTGCCCTGTGCATCTGCCTTTACCCACCTAGTGAATTGTGGAATACAAATCCTGGGTTTATGATCTAATTGCAGAGTCAAATAAAATAGTTACATCCAGTGTTGTGGATGACTTGTAGAAAAGCTTTAAAAAAAGAATACCAAGACTTGAGAAGCCATAGTAACGGCATGAATTTTAAACAGTGTTACTGGTGGGGGAGGAGGGGAGCAGGCTTGAAACAAAGTTAAAAATAAAAAAAAAGTATGTTGGGAATTGGTGGAATAAAGAAACATAAATGTTTTGATTTTTAAAAAATGAAGAAGGGGCTTCTACTCAAACAACAAAAGTGCAAAACCTAGACAATTATGTATTGCTCTGTTCAGGACTAGGAAGCTTGGTGTTTGATATGATTAATTTACAGAGTAACAATTTTGTAAGGTACTTTCCCAAGTACCTGGGAAATGACAATGTTACTATGAATAATGCACAACAAATGCATAGATAACCTTAACATTTAAAGCCAATCAGTTCAAGTGACTTAAAAAAAAGCAAGCAAGTAAACAGTTACTGTATTTGGTACTTCTGAGGTCTGTCAAGGCAAACATGACAGTTCAAAAAAGAAAGGGTGATGCTGGCAAAATACTGTGCCACATATAATTTTTTTTCCCCTTTGGTAACAGTTGAGTTGGCAAAAGTTGTTTTCAACATGCTAATTACTTCCTTGCCTAGAAGCATATTCTGAGTGGAGATTTATATATTGATATATTCCTAAATTACTTGATTTTTCCTTTGCAATGGGCAGGACTTCTCAAGACTGCTTTCTTCCTGTGAATTGCTCCAGACAGACTTTTACAATCTGAAAAAACATCTCCAAAGGGAAGCTATAGAAAGAATTGGAGAGAGAAGCTGGGACTGTATAGAATAAATAATGCAAACAGGAATTGCAGAGGAAGTTAAGGCCTGGGTCCACTGCTATTGTGACCTCCCCCTTTTGGCTTTTGCCTCTTTCATTTCAACGTAAGTAATTGGACAGAGCAGTGGAACCTTATTAGGATAACTCGTTCTGGCTATTCAAGGCTTTAATATTTTGTTTTCTCACTCCCAACGGCAGCTACTCTGACAAGGACTTCAGCTCTACCCAGAAGCTACAGTTTTGGGGAGAAAACTGGAACAGTAAAAATACCCTGTGGAATCTAATTAGTACTTGTTTTCAGGAGTGGTGTACTTCAGGATGTAAATTAAGCACAAAGGGACTGGGATTAGGAAAAAGCAACTTTGCAATACAGGTATTTTATTGGTTGATTGGTTTTGTGCTGCCTTCTGAATCACCTGGTTCCTGGCCATTGTGAGAGCAAAGTGGTAAGTAACAGTGAGAAGTTCAGGCAAGTCCAGGCAGAGATGATCTTTGTATACAATTTTCCTTTCATTAGCTTTACTTCCCCGCTGCCCCCCCCACCCCCGCCCAACAAGTTAAAGCAGTTTGAGTCAAAGCAATGGCAATAAATGACGTTGTATCACCTCCCCCATAGTAAGGGAAATGATTACGTTTAAATAGCAAAAGAAAATTTGTGTAATACAGATTGACAAAGGGACCTAAATAGTAAAACTCTTGTCCTATCTCTTCACAGATTTAAGCACAGATGGAAAACCTGAGCATTATGTATGACTTCAGAATCCAGGTATTTTTCAGTAAATCAGCTAAAAATACTGAGAAATAATTTGGACAGACCATAACAGCTGTTTTGGACAAAACAGCTCTTTGGGGCTCTTGCCTAAAGACGGTTACAAAATAAAAAGCTAGAAAAAAATAATGCAATAGCTCCCAGTTTTATTAAATAAGCAAATTTTTTTATATAAAGTATAACATGTTTCATATTATAATTGTGCAAACCTCTTACACAGATCGGGGGGGGGACAGACGACAAGTAATAGCCTATATATTTCTTTTAGTTTTTTTTCTCAATTCTTTTTAATACATTTACAGCCCTTTAAACACCACAGACCAAAATCATATTGTATAATGGCTCTTCAAAGGCTAACCAAACATTGGCGTGAGAATAATTTAAGTGACGGTGCACTGGTATTTTTCCAGTTGAAATATTGCAAGAAATACAGTTAAATAAGGGCTCTGTCACACAGACACACTATGGGTACATCAGAGGAGAACTAAAGCTGAACACTCACCATAGAAATAATAGTGACAGCTCTAATGATCTGCCCACTGTGAGTCCTGTAGTACTAATGCTTCAGGTAAACTTTTGGCAAGTCAAGATAAAGTAGTATTTCAAGTCTGTGGAGCAAAGTCGCACAGAAATGATGTGTGTTCCTACTCTTTAACATGAGTTTTTAAAGTTACTATAGTCAAAATAATGTCACTTGAAATGTTCCTGTTTGTGGTTTGGTGTACTTCACAGGTATACATGCACGTCACCAAATATTTTTTAACAATTTTTTTTGTTTCGACAGATTCTGACTTTTATCATTAGGAATCTCAGAATGCTAAAATTCACAATTTGAAGCAAACTGGCATTGAAAGTATGTAGGGGAGAACTCATCTAGACAGATGTTTTGGTTTTGTTTGGGTTTTTTAATGAGGATCCTTCTGCTTGTTCTAAGCAACCCTACCCACATCTTCTGTTTTGAAATTTACAGTTAAAGCGTTCTTAGAAAAGCTAAACAGACTCATGCTAGTGAATGAATTACGTGCAGCAGCAACTAGAGCAGTGCACGCTTATTACTACAGAGATTCACGAATACCACATACTGGTTTAACATCCATTTTCACTCATTTTGTCATTAAGACTTACATTATATTTGGGTCAACCAAAAAAACCCAAAGAGATTTATAAAATTTTACAACAATTAAACAGTAATGTTTAATTCTACAAATGAATAAAGCCAACTACTGCAGCTCAATACGACAACAGGACTAACAGTAGTGAAATCATCTGTATGTACAATTTAATATATTACTGACGTAATTCTTACAAAAAACCCATTAAATAACTTAGACTGACATCCCATAAAGCATTTGACTTTTGATTCATATATTTAAGGTTATACACTTTTAAGTGACAAATTACGTGAAAGCAATATAGCTAAAGATGAAAGATCAGTAAATCAGAACTCCCAGAGAACGCTCTGGCCCCAGTAAAGCACTAAAGCCTACTGCTTAACTCTTGCCGATTTCAGTAGGCTAGAATTTTACTTTTTCCCCCCTCATCTAGAATTGCAATTTCGTGGGTTTTATTAAAACACAGTTTCTAGAACTGTTCTCTTACAGTTTTAAAAACATTTAAATACCAGGCTCTCAAAAAGAGCATTTATACAAAGGCTTATATTTACAATATAGACAGTTATGATCAGGTGTTAATAAGATAAGATCAACTCTTCCACGTAAGAAGAAATCTAAGCTTAGGCGCTGAAGATTAATGAATGTGTCAGTGTTTTGAATTGGCTTGTAAACATATCTGAAAAACAG